AACTGTCTTTATTCTTTGCTCAAATGTCACTCTCAGTGAAGTCTATGGCACTCCCATTTAAAAGTGCAAAGGCCCCTAGTAATTCTCCACCTGCCTTACTCCACTTTCCCTTTCCCTTCTTGGTACATATCACCTTCTAAAATAAAGGCATACCTCGTTTTATTGAGTTTTTTTTTATTGCCCTTCACAGATGTTGCGGGGTTTTTTGTTTGTGTTGTTTTTTACAAATTGGAGGTTTGTGGCAACCCTGCATTGAGCAAGTCTATTGATGCCATTTTTCCAACGGCATTTGCTCACTTCGTGTCTCTCTGTCACCATGTTGGTAATTCTAGCAATATTTCAAACTTTTTCATTATTACTATACTTGTCATGGTGATCTGTGACCAGTGATCCTTGATGTAACTATTGCAAAAAGATTACAACTCACTGAAGGCTCAGATGATGGTTAGCATTTTTTTTGTAGCAATGAAGTATTGTGAAATTAAGGTGTGTACATTGTCTTTTAGACATACTACTACTACTACATACTTAATAGACTGCAATATAAACATAACTTTCATACACACTGGGAAACCAAAAAAAATTGAGTGACTGCTTTATTATATTTGCTTTATTGCAGTGGTTTGGAATTAAACCTGCAGTATTTCCAAGGTCTGCTTATAACTTAGACTCTTTTTCTGGCAGCCCTACGCAGCAGAAGGGAACTCAGCCCAGACAGTGCCTTGGGTCTCGAGTCACCCACGTGCAGCAGTCAGACTGCAATCATGGTCCACTGTCCTCCACAAAGCTAGGCTTGTGGGCTCACTGGTCCCAGGGGCCAGAATGTAGCACAGGAGTGCCAAATTGGTCCTCCTAATTATCCAGACCACCTCATCTCCTACCAGCCAGCAAAAATGATGCAGCCTTTGAAAGTATCTAAATCACAAATTTCATAGTTCGTGTATACCTTATATTTTGGTACTAGGGGCTAAGTGAATGGTGGAAAAGGAAAAAATACATATATAGAGAGAGAGGTTATAACATAGATCTTTGACCAAAAAAAGATTGTCCCAGTAGACTAATTTTTAAAAAATAGATAGCTTTACTGTTGTTATAAAATTGATATATGCTCTTTATAATAAAAATATGTAAAAGTACATGAATGCATTGCAAACAAAGTATTCCATCTGCTAGAAATAAGCAGTTATAATACTGACCTTTCACACATCTTTTCCTTTCTCTCTCTTTATAAACACACACACACATTAACAAAAAGGGGTTGTAGTATAATTATTGTTTTACAAATTCCTGGTTCACTGGTTTGTGAGCAACCGTCAATGTCATTACAGGTATACCTAAATATTTTTAGTGATTTCTCCTTGTTTACATGTGCTTTAACTGATTAAAACTGGAGCATTAAGATTTGTGGGTTTTTGCTGGACTAAGAAGATGCTATTAAACCTGGCCATCTACATACATCTTTTCCCACATGTACAACTATCTCCCAAGTATAAATTACTACACACTTACTGCTGCTTCGAAGTAGAGGTTATATAAATTGAACTTGACACACTGACAAATTTTCAAAAAAGACGACCTATTTTCACTCCTACCAATAAGTGCATAAGAGTTCATGTTTCCACAGATCCCCACTGATGTGGCTTTGGTGAATCTGTTTACCACTGCTATTCTGATGAGTTAGAAATGGTATTTCTGATTTTTAAAAATGTTATAATATTTGTCTTATAGATAAAAAAACCAAAACAATCCAGTATGAAATGAAATGGCAAAAATATTGTATTCATGATAGCAATAAAACAAAATCCTAGAAATATACTTAAGAATATTCAGAAGCTAATTTTCAAATCTCTAAAATAATATTTCTGAAGGCTCATTTAAAATACTTTAGTAAGTAGAAACAAACAGCATCTTCAAATGGAAAAAAAAATTCAGAATTTCAATGATGCAAGTTCTTCCCAAATTAACCTATACATTCAATGCAATGCCAATTAAGAGCCCAGATTTTGTTTAAAATGATAAAATACTCCTGCAGTTTACATAACCTCTGACAGCAGTTTCTCTCTAGGAGATAAAATACAATCACAGAAACATGACGATAGTGTGTTGGAGACACATTACCCAGACCTGCCAAGAGAGCATCTTTCCCTGAAACCATCCATGGCCTAAAAGTGACTTGCCTCAGTGAATGTTAGTATAATCTTTTAATTTTTATAAAAATGCTTTCTAAAAGGTATGTACAATATTGCTTTGAGTAAGGGGACAGTTTTTTCCTACACTTATCCCGTTCATAGGTATTTTTCCCAACATGGAATCTGTGTCCATAATCTGCCCCTTTGATATATTCTTACTAGTTCTAGCATTTGTAAAAACTCCCTCCTGGGCCACCTGTGATGAATGTGATGTTTCTTTTTTTCCCTGAAACCACTGCCACATCATTTCCTTAGGGACTATTCCACTGTGCAAGAGACTCTGGAAGACTGGAGTTTGTGAAGTTTGTGACTGAGCGCTTTCCCTGTTTACCAAACTTCCAGATCTCCCTTCCCGTGCGGACCAGCCTCTACTGCAGCCCTTCCGACACATCACGTCTGTATCGATTTTCTCCTGTGTTGGCTCTGAGATGAACAGAAAGTTCTGAGTTCTACCCGGAGATCTCCACTCACACCTGCTTACAAGGTTTCTCGCTTAAGTGCACTCGCTGATGATTTCGCAGACCTGAGCTATAGCTGAAGCCTTTCCCACACTCCATGCACTTGTAGGGCTTCTCTCCAGTGTGGACCCTCTGATGGATGTGAAGACAGGAGCTTCGACCAAAGCCCTTCCCGCATTCCTCACATTTGTAGGGTTTCTCGCCAGTGTGGACCCACTGATGACCTTGAAGGTGTGAGCTCTGACTGTAGCCCTTCCCACACACGTCACATCTGTACGGTTTCTCCCCCGTGTGCACTCTCTTATGACTGAGGAGACCTGAGCTGTACCGGAAGCCCTTTCCACATTCGTAACAAATGTAGGGTTTCTCGCCGGTGTGCAGTCTCTGGTGGGTGCGAAGATTTGAGCCATAGCTGAACCCCTTGCCGCACTGATCACATCTGTAGGGCTTCCTCCCCGTGTGGACTCGCTGATGTTTGTGAAGACTTGAGGTGCACCTAAAGCCCTTTCCACACTCTTCACACCTGTAAGGTTTCTCGCCCATGTGGACCCTCCGGTGGATGAGGAGTCTGGAGCTGTAACTGAAGCCTTTCCCACACTCCGCGCATTTATAGGGCTTCTCTCCTGTGTGGACCCTCTGGTGGATGAGGAGGTCGGAGCTGTAAATGAAGCCCTTCCCACACGTGGCGCAGATGTAGGGCCACTCTCCGGTGTGGACCCGCCAGTGGCTGTGAAGGTTGGAATTCCGCTGGAAGCCTTTCCCACACTCGGCACATCTGTAGGGCTTCTCTCCCGTGTGGACCCTCTGGTGGACATGGAGGTCTGAGCTTCGGCCGAAGCCCTTCCCGCACTCGCACTTGTAGGGCTTCTCTCCCACGTGCAGTCTCTGATGTGCGAGGAGCCCTGAGCTGTAACTGAAGCTCTTCCCGCACACGCCATACTCATAGAGGCGCTTCCCTGTGTGAGCCTTCAGGTGAGCCTGCAGGTACGAGCTGTGACTGAAACCCTTGTCGCACTGGTCGCACTGGTCGGGTTTCTCTCCGGCGGGCATTGTCTGATGACTGCTGAGATTGGAGCTACAGCTGAATCCCCTGCCGTGTTCTACACAGCTGTAGGGTTTCTCCCCGGGGTGGACGTGCTGATGCTTATGTAACATGGACCTGGCGCAGAACCCTTTGCTGCACTCGCTGCACGTGTAGAGCTTCTCCCGTGTGCAGCTGCTGATGGACCTGAAGCACCGAGCTGTAGCTGAAGCCTTTCCCGCACTCACTGCATCTGTACGGCTTCTCTCCGGTGTGGACCCTCTGATGGACCAGCAGGTTGGAGCTCCGCCCAAAGGCCTTCCCGCACTCCTCGCACTTATAAGGTTTCTTTCCTGTGTGTAAGCCCTGATGGATGAGAACTGATTTGTACCTGAACCCCTTCCCGCATACCTCGCATGCATAGGACGTGTCTCCTGCCGGGACCCTGGCACGGCCATGAATGCGTGTGTTCTGCCTGGAGCCCCGACCATGCTCGTTACTTTGAAAGGATTTCTCTCCTGGGGGAGTTCTTGGATGTCTCTCCAGACAGGTGCTCTGCCCCAAGCCCTTAACAAACTTATGATATTGATAGGGTTTCTCTTTCAAGGGCACTCTTGGATGAGTGGGCAGGTCTGAATCATCCTGGCAGCCATTTTCACATTCATTTCTTTCAAAGCCATTCTCTCCGGGGTTAGGGCATTGAAGTATTGACTCTTTAATGCAGTCTTTTCTGCCTTTATCACAATTATGTGGTTTCTCTCTTCCAGGTTTCCTGTGGTCATCACGATAATGTGATAGCCAGCTGAAGCCGTCAACATACCAGTCACATTTATATATTATATCTTCCATGTTGGGTTTTTTCCATCTTTCTTGAACATTCCTTGTCTCATTCACAGGCTTTTATCCAAGATCCCTGAAAGGAGACTGGTCTCACAGGCCAGGCTAGAAACTCATGATTTTCCAAATTGATGGACCCATCCCCTTGAAGACTGTCTACCAAATTTCCAATCTGAGAATCCTCAGCAGATACTAATTTCCCGCCTTGACAGAGAGAAGCATCTTCTGAGGACCAGAAATCTGCCCCTGGAAGATTTGCTCTGTGGTCTTGACTCGCAGTTAATTCACCAGCCACCTGCTCCCAGATTTTCCAGCAGGGGAGCTCTCTGTGCGAAAGAAATCTGAA